TAAATAAATAAATAAATAAATAAATAAATAAATAAATAAATAAATAAATAAATATTATATAATATGTTATATATTATTACACTATAAACTTTTACAATGGTCTAGATTGATTATAGAAAGGCATTTGATTTATTACCACATTGTTGGGTACATCAACTATTTGGAAACAACTGATGTAAAAAAAAACATTAAAACTTTTTCAGAAAAAATAAGGCGGAAGTCAGAATTGGTAATTGGAAATGAAAAATATAGCTTTGCCAATATTAGGACAGGCATCTTTGAGGGTGATCCATTATCATTCTTATTATTTCTCATTTCTATGATACCATTTTCTATGTTTTTGAAGAAAACAAATCTTGGCTATCAAACAGAAAAAAATGCTATAAAATCTCACATTGGTCTTAGATGGATAATCTGGAACTTTATGGAAATCAGAAATCAAAATCCAGTCTTTGGTAAATATCATTAGAATTTTTAGCACATATAGCAATGGAATTTGACCTAAAGAAATGGGCTACAGGGCCAATAAACCAGGGTAAATTTATGAACAGTAATGGAATTGAAATGCCAAATGACCAAACTATCACAAGCCATCAGGATGAAACTTAAAAGTACCTGGGTAATTTATAGTTGGATATGATAAAGCATGAACAAGATAAAATATAGTTAGTAAAGAATACAATCAAAGAATGAGAATATTGTTAAAGACAAAATTAGACAGTGGAAACACCATCGAAGGCAATAATACCTGGACCATACCTATTATATCATATACTGATGATTTATTAACTGAACACAAGTTGAACACAGTTTGGACCAGAAAATAAGAAAACTGATGACTATTCAGTATGGATTTCATCCCTGTAGTGATATTGATAGAATACACCTGCTGTGCAAAATGCAGGCAAAAGTTTGACTTCAAGTCAAACTGTCAAAGAAGAAAGACTTGCATTGGCTAATTATGTAAAATACAGTCAAGAATAGGCACAAGTTATAAACTAGAATGTATTGAATGAACAGGAAACAAAACATGAATATCAAAATAATGCATTAAAAATGAATAGAATACTGGCAAGGAAAATCACTACCAGTCAATTTCTATCAAAGATTTAGGGGAAAATGGATAAAGATAAAATATGCCAGTGACTTGCAACACTAAAAACATGATACTTGGGGCAACATCAAACAAAGTCTTTCTTTTGGTCACCTAAGAGCAAGCTGTTTGAAGAAATGCAATCAAGGACAGAATTGGGGGCGGGGGAGAGAATCATCAAATTGATTCAAAGTGCAGGGTGATCTTGTGCAAAGAAGCATAAGATTCAGTTCATGCCAGGACTGACAGAAAAAGTTCCTCATTCTACAAGACCATGGTTGGAACTGGAATATGAGATACCAATAAAAATTTAAAATTATTAATGCAGAAATGAAGTATACTGAATTTGATGTTTTAGGAATGTGAAAAGCCATATGAAGGCAATTATATTTACAAAGGACATTTCAAAGTAATGGATGTGCTCAATTATAAATTAGTAAATAACAGAACCATGTCTAATGCAATTAATGGATATCCAGTGAACATAAATGCATATATACCCACCACAGATAAATCTGGAAGATATTGAGGAATTCTAAGAGAAACTGGGAATGATGCTAAATACGATATCAAGAAAATATGTCATATTACTAATGAATGAATGGGATGCTAAAGCTGGAGAAAGATAAAACTTCAAATTACATGAAGATTTGGATCTGGTAAACAATACAAGAGATAAATGAACAGATTTTTGGGAAAAGTCTTTGTTTATTGCCAACACTTGTTTCATACAACTTAAAATACAAACTCCACAGCTGGATATCACCAGATGGATAACACTGGAATCAAATCAATTCTGTAAATTGGGAAAGTGTAATCCAATCAGTGAGGAACCTTACAGGGGCAGATTATGAATCAGATAATAAATTATTGGTGTCAAATATAAGGGTAACACTTAGAAAAGTAGAAGAATGAGTGTGCTAGAAAGTTTTGTCTACCAATACATGTAAAATATAAATACAAAATAAATGTAAGGAATACTATGTAAGGGATACATTGATTCAATCTGCTTATTTTATGCAATCTGCTTATCTTGAGCAACAGTAGGGAGAGATATATGATATGGTAAAAATCAATGTGAAAAGATATATTACCACAATTTCAAAACAAATTAAAATGATAGCCAAAGGAAGCTGAGAGATATAAACCTTAAAAATAAGATCTATAATGACTGAACGCAGACTTCCAGAATAAAACAAGAAACTACAAAGAAAGAGGGAGAAAGAGAAAGAAAGAAAGGAAATAGAGTTATTTTTAAGATTAAAAAATCATAGAAAAATGTACAATTAAGTACAGATACATGTTTGTGAAAGATGTAATAGAAGCAAATGCAATTAAAGGAAAATGGAAATATATACATTTATTATATTACAACTCTTTACATACTGAATAATAAAATGAGAAAATATTTTCATATAGAGATCCTGGAATACAACATCCTGGAAAATGAGGCATAATTGGTTGATGACCAGAAACCAGGAGACATAGAATTCACTAGATGACTTTTGGTCAGTTACTCTCTTTCAGCCAAATTCACCTCACAGGATTGTTATGGGAAAACAGGAATATCATGTAGGTTGCCTAGCATTGTATAAATGTTCTAATCTAATGTAATCATAGGAATGCACAAGAAGTTAGGTGATATAATAGAAAATAAATGATATAATAGAAGATAGGTGATATCCACTGATATTTTACACTTAAGGCAATTAAAATGATTACAACTGTGAGTCAACAAATATGGAACTGGAACATGTGGCACAGAGTTTGGGAAAAAATGGTATTATGTGGTTACATCAAAGAAAGAGGATGCAAGTGAAAGTTTCTATGTATGTAAAATAATCTATATTATGGACTATTGCTATGGAGATAAATAATAAAATCTATCCAAAAGTTAGAGAATTGCCTTCATTTTTGAAACTTTTGTGTAGATTATGCCATACAGCAAAATATATCAATATAACTTTTCTGAGGAACCTTTATAATAAAGTGAAAATTTCTGTAAAAACTGCACAATTGAAAGAAAGGTAGCTGAAATAAAAATTTCAGGTCAAAACAGTTGCCACTTTGTTAGCTAAAAGTCAAGAGCACTTTAGACACAGTTGTTATGGATCTCTTTCCTGGGCTCAGTTGGACTGTTTAGCTATGGTACACTTCTAGTCTACTTGGAAAGCTTGGCCATAGAAATATGCTTGCAAAGCTTGGAGATGGGAGGTACAACTTTATGATGGTTTAGCTCCTTTCTGAGTGGACATTTCCATTTGGAAGTCTTTGGGGAGTAGCAACTCTTTTCTGGGTGCCATGAAGCTTTGTTCTCTCCCGAAGTTATTCAATAATTATTCAATGAAATCCCAGAGAGAGAATACAGTGATTTAGGCAAAAGTGTAATCTACATGTGCTAATATACAACTATGTCTGTATCTTGGGCTGTATTGACGATGGCTCCATATGGTGGCTAGAGGATTGGAGCACACAAATATAGACAGACTGAATAAGATAGAGTTACAGCTTGTTTGGAAACCATATGATTTATTGCCAACTCCATTATCCATCATACCATTCTACAGAAACAGGTTTGCCATTTGGATAAATGTAATAAATTTAAATCTTAGAACACTGCCATGAGAATTAATGATGAAAGACTTTCTGGAAAAGCCAGGTTTTTACCAGATGCTATAAAAATGAGGGCTGTTCTGCTCATTAAGGATAAGCTACGCTATGAGGATGAGTCACAATTATATGTATTTCTTTTTGGGTGCCCTCTCTCTGCACCTTCTAATACGTATTTGGGCAGAATAGGCAGATTTCATCAAGGAAAGCTAGTTTTTTAGATATTCAGGTTCCAAGTAATTAAGAGTTGGAATGGTGATGATCAGCACCTTGATCTGAACCCAGAAACATACTGATAACAAATGCAGCTTCCGCAGCAGAGGTGGTATTCAGCCAGTTCGGACTGGTTCAGGCGAACCAGTAGCGGAAATTTTGAGTAGTTTGGAGAACCCGCAAATACCACCTCTGGTTGGGCCCTCCCTCCCACCACCGTTGTTCCCTGTTCTATATTACCTTGTTTTTTTTAGCTCAGTTGATTTGCATAGCAGAGTGGATTGTCATGCCTCAACTGAACTAAAAAACTGCTCGACTCACCAGCGCTGACACTGAGGGAGGTCTTTGAGTGCTGTGCATGCATGTGAACCACTCTCTCATAAGAAAAGATTTGGAATCCCACTACTGTTCCACAGCAATGGTTAGTATGGCAACATTAAACCTGAATAGTAAAACATGTGGGCTGATGCATTCTGGAGGAGCTACACTTTCTTGATAGTCCACAAGGACATTCCATGTAGAATTATAAGAATCCAAATGAGAGCTAACAAGGGCATGAATAATTGTTATCAGTATAACATGTTCCACAAAAGGCTACAGCTGAGCATTAGTGAAAGCTAAGAAAAGGCTGTGTCTAACTATGGCTTCCATCTGCTCCTTTATCAGAAGGATCTCCCATCCACAAATCTGTTCTCTCTCTGTTAGAACCTCTTCAAAATATTTCCAGTCTACTAATGGAAAGAGTAGACTTTTGAATTAAGAGCCTTTTTCTTTGGGTGGAATCTTCACCTGATTCTCCTCATCCAGACCCTGACAATCTCCAGGAACCTGGCGAGAACATTTAACACATGTACCATTTTGCTCTGGCTGGAGATATACAACTAGGTTGAGAAGAAAGCTGAGAAACTCGTGGCTGGATGGAGTTGATGAGGATTTTTTAAAAAGTGAAATATGGCAAATTTAAAGAGCAATGGGGTGTCTAATAAGTACATGATGAAAGTAAGATATGCCAAGGTATGGTGAAATATTTAAACTGGATTCTTTTTAAAAAATTACATATTAATGGGAAGTATCTGATAAAAATACTTTTATAAAATAGAAGTATTGTATACTTTAGAACAATGAGCCCCATCAATTGTGGAGATTGTTGACATATTTTAGATGGCATCATATTAAGTAACTAAAGTACAATCTTTTTGATTCCCCTTGAGACAGGAGGAAAAGCCACAGCTGACACAATGATCAGATAAGAGGATGTTGATTCCTCAGAAAAAAATGGGTATGCAAACATTTCCAAAGGGATCCTCCCTCTGACTGCAAAGGTAAGGAGGGAAAGATGTATTTTTAAACTTGCAAAATTATGTTGATGTAATTGTACAATAAAGTACAGGTAGTATTTCTGGGTGTGCTTCTTTTCTGGCTATCTCAGAAGTCTGATAATAACAGAAGATATGAAGTTATGAAACAAAATATTTCTCTCATAACATTGCTGGTATAATAACAAAAAATAAAATAAATTTTATTAGCATTTTAAATATTACAAGATTTCAATAAAACCAGATATTTGTATCTCAGGGTTGACATGAGAGGTCTTTGGTGCTCTCTAAGATCGATTGTTTTTTTTCACAAACTAGGCAACATCATCAGTGCTATAGTAGTTAGGAGTGGGATTTTCTCTCAGTTTATATTCTAGAGGCTTGCCTGTCAGTGTTGGTGGGAGTGATCTTGGAGTTTCTTCAATTGGGCTATTTACTATTTATCCTTAGTTTGTTTGGCATTCCTTGATTAGGGTATAGTCCTTGATTGGGGTATACCCAATCAAGGAACTGATGTTGTGGCCCTCCAGCGACCAGCAGAGCTGGCAGCAGATTCAGATAGTGGAGAGGTTGGAAGAAACATGGGCCAGTACTGGAGTCTAGAGAAGGCTCTGTGTTGGAGACAGAGAGGGGGAAGAGCTGTACATCAGTTATCAGCTGCATTCAGAGTCAGACATCAGTGAGGCAGTTGAACAGCTGGAGCCTGTTCCCACTGTGTGCATGTGCAGAGTTGCCAGATGAAGGGAACAGCTAAAGAACAGGGGTCAACTTGGGAGTAAGGGCACAGGTGGACAATGAATGGCTTCACCCAGAGGAAATAAAAGAGGAGCGAAAGAGGAGTGGAATTGCAGGAGACAATTAGTTCACTTCATTGGCTCTTGGCTCTCTGAGACTCCTTGCCAAGTTTTGCAGATATCGGCCTGGCAGCTCTCTACATCATATAAGGTCTGTGACTGTAAATCTTCTCTTCAAAGACTATGTTGTATGCAAATGAGCAGAATTCACAGTAAATTTAAAAAGTTTTTTGTCGGGAACAGGAGTTTGCTTCATGTTCTTGGGAAGACTAGGTCAGAACAACTGGTTAAAATTGTTTTACTCAAATATCTGATGAATTCAGATGTTCTTTTTTCTAAAGGTACTTGTGGAATGTTTTGTGTCATCTACCGACAATATTGTTAAAGTCTGTCTGATTTGTAACATATGCAAAATGACCCCCTTAGTTAACCTTATAGTACCTAAATATCATCGTTTCTTTACTGGAAGCTGACAGCAATGAAACAAGAGCAACAGCACTTATATACCACTTCACAGTACTTTACAGCCCCTCTAAGCCATTTACAGATTTGTATTGACCCCAACAATCTGGCTCCTCATTTTACTGACCTTGGAAGGATGGAAGGCTGATTCAACCTTGCGCCAGTGGGAATTGAACTGCCAAACTACTGGCAATCAGCAGAATTAGCCTAAGGTACTATATTCTAACTACTGCACTACTACAATGTTTAGACCAGAGAATGAATAGAGAAATTATTGTGATAAATTGTACCTTACACAGAGTTGAAAGATGGGGTCATCTGAAACTCTACTCTGTGGTAGAATAGAATAATGTACTCTACTCTATTAACCTGCAGTACTGCATTCTAACCACTGCACCACCACGGCTCAAACAAACAGCAACTTTGAATGTTGCCTACTTTTAATAAGGGGCTGGATGAGGAATAACAGATATAATTAAATCCAGACAAGATGGAAGTGTTATGGATAAATGTAAGCAGGACTGAAGTAAAGCTTTTTTTTAAAAAAATGAGTCATACTTTCCCAGAAAGAGCAGATTTCTCAGTGTTCTTTGTGCACTTTGACCCCACTGGATTTGCAAATAACCTATTTGCAAAATTTTTGTTAGTTGCTCTTGATACTTTCTGTGCAGAATTGGTAGAAATTGCCCACATTGTTCTTAGAAACCATATAATAATTGCTATGCACTCACATTATCCTACTAATGAAAGGCAGTCAAGTTTGAGGAAAACATGGCAGCCAGAACAAGATAGACGGATCATATAAAACTGTTACTAAAAGATCTGCACTGACTACCAAATTATCACCAGGCTTGATTTAAGGTGCTCCTGTTTATATACTTCCTATATTTAGTAATCTATCATCTTATTTTTAGTTATGAATAAATCTTTGAGAAGATTCCAAAATATACATGATACCTATTATTACCCATTATTTATTTCCCCCCTCTTCTAATATTTAGAAGTATATATTTTGTTTCAATTAATCTATCCTGTGAAAATGATGGTCACTGTTGATCTCCATAAATTAAATATTATTTCTAATCAACACTTCTGCACATGCAAATGATGTAAAGGAGCACTCTTACCATATTGGTATGTAATTTATAGCTCATCTCCAAGTACTAATATAAAATACATTCAGACCCACTGATATTATAATACAGGAAAACTTTCCTATTCGTTTTATAGAAGAAGTTTCCTCTATGAAATATGTACTGTATAACTATGTATTGGTACTAGAAAATCTATTCAGTTGGAAAGCTCAGTCTCTGCACTAAAACATGCTGGGAAAGACTTACTGGACTAGGATATGAGATTTCACATATTAGCCATTTCCTCCAATCTTTTAAAGTTTCTTGGTAAAACACTTATATTATTATTCCTAGTAGTGCTACATATTTAAATGACAACTGCATCCTCCAATGGAGACAATCACTTTATTCCTGCAATAAGATGTTACCCTGCCTGCCCTTAATATCTGGATAACTTTTGGAGCAGATTTCAGAGATG